TTGTGGGAGCATAGAGAGATTCCTAGGCTGCCCACCTACCCCTCTATCTCAAAAGGTTCCTTGAGCTCCATTAAGCATGAGCTCTAGGAGGAGCTGGCAGAGACCAAGAGGCAGCTGCAGGGCTCTGAGGCATTGCTTGCTCTCCACCACAGGCTTCCCTGCCTTGCCACCTGCCCTCCTTCAATGGTACCTCCTGAAAGCTGCTCTTCCAAATGCCACCTCCAGGAAGCTCTTCCCAGAGTATCCCCACTGTGGCCTACCCCATCCCAGATTGTGGGTCCGGGTCAAGCCTGGTTGGGTCTCCTAGGGCCTGGAAGCAGCCCTAGGCTGGCTCCACATCAGCACCCCCCACGGAACCCCCCAAACAGAGATGACCAGTGCAGGAAGTACATCTCCTCAGGGAACAGGGTGTTCTGCCCCTGCCCAGCAGCCCGCCCCAGCCAGAGGCCTAACTCCCAGGGCAGCGGAAGTTGGCGGTGCTGAGGGCGCAGACATGGGGGAGGGAGAGGCGGGGACCTGGCTGAACTTCAGACCTTCCCAGTACATCCAGGAGGGCTCAATTCGGATGCAGACCCACCCACTTACCAGGAAGGGAACAAAGAATAGACCCATTTCACAGATGAGAGCAAAGATAATGAGAGAGGTATCCCCCAGTGTCTCTCAGGGGCTCTCCCCCATGGTGGCATGGGGGCTTCTGTCTTTGAGACTTCCTGGCCCAACATGCCTCTGCACTCACCCAGAGTTCCCTCAGCAGCTGAAAAGGCCCCTGGCTCACACCTGCCCCAACTAACAGAGGGGCGTCTGCAGCTAGAGCTGCTTCAGGTGGGATACCTGTGCTAGGGCCCTAACTGGGGCTAGAGTGCAGGGAGGTGGCCCAGGCCAGCTGCACTTGTGCTGCCCCTACGACAAGACTCCAGCACAGGCCCAAGAAGGCACTGAGGCAAAAGGCATGGAACTGGGGGATAAGGGGTCAGATCATGGTGGTGGGACCCACTATTGAGGTCATGACACCAAGGCTGAAGTGTTGTTCCCAGAGGGGCTCAGAAGCATACCCATTTGCCTCCTCCAGGGAGCCATCCCTGATTGACACCAGCACAGGGCCTTTTCCAAGTCCCTGGTCCCCACCTGGCCCTGGACCCAGGCTGAACACTCCAAAGCTGGGCCCCCACCCCTGCCTGCCAGCCTGAGAGTGCCTGAGAACAAACCTTGGCCCCCTCCTTCAAGACTGACCCTTTCTATACTGAGGGCACAGCCTGGCAGCACTGGCAGCCCTCCCAGGACTGTGAGGTCAGCTGCAGCATCGCCTCAGCAGAAGGGACAGGCCTATCAGGAGGCTTGAATAGAAACTGGTGAGGGCAAGTGTCACTTACCTGTGCTTTTCTAGTTCGTTGTGTGAAGACCTGTTTAGAGAAACAGAAAGACAGGGCTCACTCTGAGGCCTGACCACCAGAGCAAAACAACAATGGCGCTTCTGGGGGAGGGGCTTGAGCCCACAGAGAGTAACAGGGCAGATCTGGGCCCCAGGAGGCCCACAGATGGTAAGGGCTGGGGTAAATGCAACAGCTGCCATCCAAGTGCTAAGGAAACCTCACACTGAGCTGCAAGGATGGGGTGAGGGCATGGGGGTGGGGGCACACAAAGGAAGCAAAGAGGTGTGCACAGATTGGGGGGACCCAGAGCCACCAGGCTCACCTATGAGGCTTGGTGGGATCGTGGTTGGCAGAAGGATGCAGAACCTCTTCCAGATGTGTAGAGGCCCAGGCAGCACAGCTACTGTACTTAACCATCTGCCTTTTTCTGTTCCCCGTACCCCAAGACCAGGTGTGTCTTTGCAACCAACAAGGACCACAAAGAGGGCTAATATGCTGAGCATGGAGCACAGAAGTCAGGTCCTCAGGAGATGAGGTGGCCATGTACCATGGCTACCATGTCAGGCTCACACATACCACCACACAGATGAGAATACCCAAGACAAGTAGTCCTAGCCAGGTCAGGCCACGGAGGGGGTGTCTGAGGCTTTGATGCTTCCTGGGTCACTGCATGCAGGGAACACCAAGGCTGGTGTATCTCCCACTTCCTTCACAGGCCATGTTCTGGCAGAACTAGCTTCTCTGGGCCCAAGCTTAGCCTCCCTGGGAACAGCAGCCCTGACAGCTGCTTGAGCCTCACCTATCCTGCCCACTCAGATGGTGCAGAGTCCTGAGCATCACAGGTGCCACTCAGGAAATTTACCCATCAACTTTCAGTCACCCTCCCAGTCCAGGAGGGACCCACAGGCCAGCCAGGGCTCCCAGGCTTCCCACGCAGCTGCACATGTGAACAGAGCGCTCAGGCCATGCAGGTGTATACCTAGACTAAGCCTTGACACACCTGGGGGCTTCTTTGGACACTGCCTGCCTATTTCCACTCCCCTGCTCCAGGAACATGGATCTGGCATCTCCCATCCTTACCCCTTAGGCTACAGTGCCTGTCCACCCTGCCTTCCTCCACCACCTGCTGCAGCCACCTGGGCACTAGGCCTGCCCTCTTCTCATGGTGCTTGCCAGCTCCTGGGCCTCACTGTTCAACTTCCAGGGTCCTCAAGAACCTGCTACTCACATGGGCTGGGTGAGAACCCTCTGCGAGGGCTAGCTGAAGCCAGAGGGGGTATCACTAACCCCTTCACTGGCCTACCAGGGGCTGTCCCTCAGCCCAAACCTCAGCCTGGCCATGTGGTTTGTAGGTATGCTGGCTCATGAGGGAGGCTGAGGTCAGAAGGTGTCCTTCAGTGTAGCGAGGCCCACCACCCACCTGCTCAATTAAAGGATGACCCCACCCTGGAGGCAGAGGGGCACTTCTCAGTAGCCTGGGGGTAGAAAAGGGCTGAGGCCCTCCTGTGTCCAGAGACCCTTGCAGAGGAGGCCTGTCACACAGGTCTTAGCAGCACCTTCCCTGGGGAGAGGTGGCACTAACCCTGGCTAGAGTTGTGCCAAGTGCTTTCCTGGCACCACCCGCACCTTGTGAGGCATGCATTCTTCTGCTCACCTCACAGAGCCCAACCTGACAAGCTGGCTCCAGTGTCTTCCCGGTGAGCCACTGCCTGAGCCTACAGCCGTGACACCCGTTTCTCACTCAGGTCTGTTGTGTCTTGTTCCTGTCCCTCACCTTGGCAGACATAAAGCCTTACATCAGACCCCAGCTTCTCATCTAGTGTGGCTAAGAACACCCTCAAGAATGGTGACCTCTAAAGGGGCCATGTCTGTCACCCCTGGCTGCCTCTGGCCCTGGGGGAGTTGGGCTCTGCTCAAAGGGGTTGCAGAAGAGGTGCACCCAGGCCAGGGAGACCCTCTCAATCCCTTGCCTGGGTCCTCATCCCAGCAGAAAGTGGACCCCACCCAGGAACAGGAGTCACAAAGGTGGGTAAAGGGGCCCCAGACAAGTAACCAAATGGTTCTATGCACCAGTTTCCTCAGCTGTAAAATGGAGATAAAAATAACATTGCCTTCATGAGGCTGTGTGTGGAGGAAGCATTCAGTGAGCCTCAGCTAGGATTCTGGGGGTCAGCTTTGGGCATTCCACACTGTGGGAGCTGGAGGTCTCTTCCCAGAGTCTGGACAGCCAGAAGCAGAAGCCTGACTAGCTTACTGTCCAGGTCAGAGGCAGTGGTGCCCCTAACACATTCAAGTCCTTCTGCAAACTGTCTTCAGCAGGGGACTAGATGCTGAGTCTCAGGCAGCTGAGACTCAAACCAATTCCTTGCCAGGCCCAGGACACCACAGAGATGGGCCTGCATGCCAGCCTGTTTCCTAAGAACAGGCAGGCCACAGGAATGAGCTGCACTCTCTGCCAAGAGGCCCAGAAGCCCCCGGCCAGTGCAGTTCCTGGCCTAGTGACACAGGAGTAGGTAGGCCAAGGTAGATCCCTGGACACTGCCAGGTGTGCCAGGCCCCCCACAGTAGCTAGGTGCCGGTACCCTGGGGTGCCCTAGCCCAGGGTATCGGCTCCCCATATGCATGCACTCCAATTTCAGGGTTTCTGCAGTCTGAGTACAAGGCCAAGGGCTGGAGGAAGTAACTGATCCTAAGGAGCCTGCTCCCTCCTCCTACCTCTCCCAAAGGCCTCCTGTCCCAAAGAAGGGGATCCCTGAACTTGTGTCTAGAGTTTCAGTGTCAGGAGACTGGGTAGGACTGGTGGACACCTGGGAGGGGCCTTTGTCCAGGCTCCTGGGGATAGGGTATTGAGCCAAGAAGTAGGGCCCAGCTCTGAGATGGGATAAGGAGGCGGTCCCTCCGCGCGCAGAACGCAGGGCCCAGCCGCTGAGCCTCAGTGTCCCGGGCCCCAGAGGCACCGGTGGGAGCCCGTTGACAACTTCTCTCCAGCCAGGAAAAGTCCAGAGAGCCTGGGGCGGGCGCGGGGCGGGCGGCAGGCGTGTACGCGTGGCACTGTTTACGCGCGACGGGAGGCGCGGCCGCGGGAAGATGGCGACGCGCAGGCGGGGCGGGCGGGGCCGACGCGCCTCCTCCAGGCCGGCCGCCGGGGCGCGGGGAGTCGCGCGGCGGACGCGAGGCGGCCGGGGGACACCGGGCGGGGCCGGCCGGGGAGGCGCGCGGGGGCGGTACCTGTTGTTCGGGGCCTTGCGCACCAGGCCGGCCGCCTTTGTTTTCTTCCTTGCGAAGTCGCCGTCGAAGGGCAGCACCGAGGCGTAGCCGTGCTCGGCCTCTGCGGACAGACGGCGCGGTCAGCGGTCCCCCGCCCAGCCCGCCGCCCGCCCACCCGGCGCACAAAGGGGCGCGGGCTACCTCGGTCCCTGCGCTCCAGGTACTCGGCCGCCTCCAGCAGCAGCAGCAGGGAGTTGAGCTCCATCCTGCCGCCCGCGCCCCTCTCGGGACGGCGGCGGCCGCTGCCCGGCGCGCTCCGGCCGGCTCCGCTCGCCGCCCGCCCAGCGCGCCCCGCGGCACACTTGTCCGACTCGCGGACTCCTGAGCTCGGCCGCCACCCTCTGCCTCTGGCCCTCAAATTGACACATAAGGGCGAGCGGCGGCAGGCATAGCCAATGGGAGCTAGCGCTGCAGCCCCAGGGGCGGGCGCTGGACAGGATCTGGACCAATGGGGACTGGCCGAACGCCTCGGGCCGGGCCGAGAATGTTGACAGATGCGAAGCTCGGTTCCGATAGGCCGACAGCTGTAGTAACAATTTAGAAGCCCAAGCTTAGCAACAGCACGTGGTGGCCCGGCCCCCGCGCTTGCTGACTGGTGGCCGTCATGCATGTTAAGTAGGTGCTGCGCGCCGATTGGGCCAGGGCGGTTTATGTAAATTGGGACCACCGACCAATGACCCGCGGCCGGGCGCGCGGCCAATAAGGGCGCCGCGGCCCGACGCGTTGCTGAGAGGAAGCGGAGCGCGCTGGGACCGCCGCCTGGCGCTCCACCCGGCCAGTAGGACGCGGGCAGCGCCTCCTGAGACCCGAAGCATGATGCACTGCGGGACAAGCGCCCTGCCACCCCGCCGGGCCCATGCACAGTGTGTGCAGGGACTTGTTGCCCAGGTCCAGATCCAGCACTGGCTCTGCGGGAGGACCATGCCTAGCCGTCTGTCTGCTCCGGGGTCCCTTGTGGGGCTGCAAACGACACCCTTCTCCGCGGGACAGAGTGGCCTCAGGGAAGGCCTGGACTGGGAGAGGAACGCAGACGGTTGGAGCATAAAACGAAGGCTTCTCTGAGGTTGTCAGTGGGGAAACAGAGAGCGGAAGTGTCGTTGTCGTTTATTTAGTGGACACCAGGCTGAAAGTGGGGACCCGGCTAGGGAAGAGGACTGCCGCCACAGGCAGGAGGGGCTCTCAAGAGGACAGGCTGCTTGTGGTGCCTGATTTGAAGAGTAAGTTCGTTACAAGAGGCTGGCGCTGGTCCTTAGGCCAAGGCTGCCTTTTCTGGGGAGGAGCGGTTCGCTACTAGGAAGCAAGCGCCTGGCTGGGCCGTTGCGGCCGGCCGCAGTCATGACCTTGGACTGTAAGGCAGGCTGGGTAGGAGGAAGAAGAGCTGGTGGTCCTAGGGCAGCCTCAGCCTGGCCTCAACCCCTTGATCTTCAGATCTTCACTCTCACTGGCTTTCAAGGTTCGTGGCCTGGGAGCTGCCGAGGGCGGGGCCAATCAGCTGGAAAGTTTTGTGTCATAAAGTGACTGGACACCCCCCCACCCCAAGTTCCATATGGAAGTGGGGCTCTGCTGCCAATAAAACAGAACAAAAACTGTTAAAACCTCAGCACTCTAGGTCCTGGGAGCAACATAAACGCATTGCCTGTGTATATTTTCACATACCCAATTTACAAATAAGGAACCCCTCAGCAATCCCAGCAGAATGGAGATTGGCACTCCCACATTGTGACCCATGGCTGGCTATGTAGGAGTGTGGCGACCAGAGCCACCTCTGGTCCAGCTGCTTCTGCTGGGGTGTGAGTGACAGCTGTCTGATCTGTGGAATAGGGTTAAGAATGTGTGCCCTTAGGGCCCTGCAGGATCTAATGGGGAACTTGATACTTCCTGCCAACACTTAAAAAAAAAAAAATCGTTGACCTGGGCTCTTCCTGCTCCAGCCCACAACCACCCCAGAGCCAGAGTACAGACTTTAGCCTTTAGTCTTTAGGGCTGCCGCGAGCCATGAAGGATGAAAGAGAGTGCCCAACTTTGGGAAGCAGTGAGGCGCATTCTGCACTCTGGGAACCTGGACTCATCACCTGGGGGTCAGCATTTTACAAGGTTGCTCCATCCCTGCATTGGCAGCCCGTGCGTGCGTTAAAGTGACCTCGCCCGGCTCCTGCTGCGATGGGCAGGGGGTTAGGCCACTGTGGTACTCAGGATGCTCAGGCGTGACAGCAGGGAGCAGCCTGCCTGCTTCCTCTCTGCCTGAGATTTTTAGCCTAGGCCAATTCTGGAATCTCCCCTCATCCAGCTGCATCCAAGGACCTAGCACTTCCGGTGCCCACGGAGCTCGACCTCACCCTGGATTGCGCGGGAGCTGGAGAAAGTGGGCAGGCGTGGGCAGGCGTGGCTGAGTGAGCGAGGGGCTGAGAGTGGCTGGACCCGATCCGGAAGCCTCAGCTTGGGGGACGAGGAGGGATACCGGGGACGGGGAGGGATACTGAGTGAGGGGCGGATGGTCTCTACAACGTGCTGCAACGTGCCCGCCCCCTAAAAGAAGCAGAGGGATTAGAGGTCATGCCAGCGCCAGCAGCCTCAGGGGCTGTTGGGGAGGAGGAGGAGACGGGCTGACCAGCAGACCGAGTCCCCTTCCGCAGGGCAGGTCTCCAGCAGGGCCAGGTCCCTTCCTGCCCACCTCCCTCTCCTGAGCCTGAGCCTGAATCTTCCCAGTGGGAACTAGCAAAGTCCATGGTGGGGAGGGAGGGAGCAGACTTCTGCAGTCCTTCTCCCATCAGAGCTCCGCCCCTCCACTAGCCTGATGTGGGGGAGGACCTGTCCCCTCCACCCCTTAGCCCCCAAGTGGCCTCCACTCCGCTGCCCTCCTGGATCAGTCCACACCCTCCTTACTGCCCCAGTTCAATTTGATACTGTCCCCCAGACTGTTCTCCCTTACTGCTCTCTGGGAGAGTCCACCCCACCCCACACAGGCTCCAGGAGAAGGGGCAGGACCTGGATCAGAAGGTGCTTCCCTAGTTTAGGGTGGAAGGCAGGGCTGACTAATCTTGAGTCGGCCTGGCCTTCCTGGGTGCCCCCGCAGCATCATCTTCCCTGGCTATACAGGAGGCTACACACGCCTCTAGGGCATGTAGAGGGTAGACTGAAGGACTCAAGGCCCAGCCTGGGAAAGGCTGCTTTTTCCCCCACCCCCTGCTCCCCCCCTCTGTCCCAAGAAGCCTCTAGAAAACTATTTCTTGTCCTTTCCATGCTTAGTAGGCCCTAGCTTTCCTTCTGTGGTCCTGGAGTCACTATCCTGCCATCTACTTAGCACAGCCCCACCCCCACTGTGGCTACTGTCCCCTCCAGTTTGGGAGCATTGTCCCCAGTTTCTCAGGTGTCCAAGGCTCCCGCACTGTCAGGGCTGGAAGGCTGGTAGGGCCCTCTCTCCTCTGGATTACTGCCCCTTGCCTGAGCCTTTGGTCTCTTCAGTCACTGGGGTGGACACCTTGCAGCGCCATCCCAGGCTACAGCCTCAACTCCTTGGGCAGGAGGCTGCCCTGCTGTTCATCTGGCCCACCTTCAGAATCCTCCTGCAACCCACCTGCTGTCCACCTCTCACACCTGGGTGCAGCTGAGTCAGACAGCTCTCTGAGGCAGGTCTGGTTTCGTGTGATGGCAGGGGTCAGTAGGCCCTGGTGAGCCATGACAAGCCTGGTCCCCTGGAAGCCTTGGCTCCCATGCACTGAGGCACTGGCCACATGGTGGCACCGAGAGGGAGTCCCATGGAGAGTATGTCTCTGGGTTCCCCCCACAGCCACTCTGGATTCTATTCTGGGAATGAGAAATTGGTCAAGTCATTTAACCTCTCTGAGTCTCAGTTTCCCTAAATATAAAATGGGAGTGACAGTACCTGCCCTTTGCGGTGGCTGGGAATGCAATGAAGGCTGGAGTAGCCTGGGCACAGAGGTAACCCAGGAAGTGGCAAGAATATGAACATCACCAAGTACTGCAAACCCCCAACCCTGCCCACAGGAAAATGGGGCTCTAGAGAGGCAGGCTGGGGTGGAGGTGGCTCTCCAGGCTAACTAACCATGGGCACCAAGCCAGGCAGGCCTCTGAGGGCTTCCAGAAACTTGGACATGCAGAAAAACACTGTCTCCAGAGCACAAAAAGAAGCCAGCAAAATGAAAATGCATGAAGATGTAATTAAGTGTCTATGGAACCTAAAATAGTGCCAACATTATTCTTAAATTTAAAATAAGGACACAGTTTATTATATTTATGAACAATTGGTGAGCACCTTCCCCCCTCTCTTTTTATAAGGTTTTCCCACTATGCTAATGAGCCCTGGACAGCTTAGCAAGTGTAAATTCAATTAATTTATTGAGGCCAAAGTGTCCAAAAACAACATGATAAAATTTCCTTTCAAAAGTTTTTACAGGAGAGGGACAGACAGACATGAAGGAGGAATGTGGGTGCAGATGTAGACATGTCCGGTGGTATTGGGGGTGGCCTTCCAAGGGGAGAGGCTAAGACTCTGATGACTGGGCAAGTATGGGCTGGGCACTGGCCAAGAAACACAGAGGGGCCCCTGCCCCGCCCCGCCCAGCCCTGCTACTGCTCCTGGACCCACAGGGCTGCCAGGCCTTTCTCTCAGAGGTGAAGGACGGGGCTGTGCTTAGGAGAATGTGCGCTGGGCTGGGAGGCAGCGCTGCTTTCAGGGAAGCTGCTGGAGGAGGGGGTCTGGGAGGAAATAAGCCCCTCTCTCTAGGACTCTGAGATATGGGATGGCATGAGGTGGGCACCCATTCCAGCCTCCTTTGGGTCCCATCGGCCTCCCACTGGCTCCCACTGCATAGTCCAGAGGGCACCAGGCCACCCCACTCCAGGGTGCTGTTAGCCCTCACCCAACTCTAGTGGTGTGAAGTGTCCAGCTCCAGCCAGGGCCCCTCTTCCTGGGCTCCTTCCATTGTTGCTGAGCCAGCCGTGGGCCTCTCTGGACCCAGAAAACTGGGGCCTGCTCACTGGGTCTGGTTGCCCTGAGGGCCCAGTTGTGACTTGCAGTGAGGTGGTCCTTGCACAAAGATGGTCCTGGAAGCTAGATGGAGCTGAGGAGACAGTAGAGTGTGGTGCCCCCTGGTGGCAGTTAAGGGCTACAGTAGGAATCTGTTGGGAGCACAGACCCAAACCACAAGAGGAGAGGGGGTCCCTGCACCAACCCCCCTCACTTGGCCTCCAGCACTGTCATTACCAACAAGGAAGGACACCAACAGTCCTTCTGAGCCCCATGTTGCACAACACTGCCCCAGGGTCATCTGCTGCCCTGCTTATGTCCTTTCTGTCCTCACTCAGCCCAGGAATCAGCTTACTGTAGAGTAGGGACCCTCACACCCTGCTACTTCCAAGTCAGGCAGGATTCTGCCCCAGGGCTTCCTTCTGAGCCCCTGGATACAGCAGGCTCAGGGTGTCTTCCCAGACCCTCCACCCTTGGCCTTGCTAGCTACCCCATGGAGAGCTACAGCACCTGGGGGGGGGGGACTACCTGGCCTAGGGCCCCTTCTGTCACCAGAAGCTGAAGTGGGGGGTTTGGGGGAACAATGACAGGCCCCTTCTCTGTGTAGCCAGAGAGCAGTGACATCCCTGCCTCCAGCTGCCAGAAGGTTAACGCTGCTCCTGCTTTCCAAGGTGCCTTCCCCAGGAGTAGCATCTGGAAAACAAGCCAGTGCTTCTGGATGTCTCGCTTCTGCCTTCTGTGGGACCCTCCAAGAAACCTACAACCCAGCTCTGCTGCTCATTGACCTGCGATCTTCAGCTTCCTCATCTATGGCATGGAGATCTTGCTCCCTCAAGGGAATCTTATGGGATTGCCACAGACATGTATAAAATGGGGAATGGCATTGTTCAAGGCAGTAGCAGGAAGGGCATGATTAGGAAATGGGTTTGGGAAGGCCAGCCTGCAGGAGGTCCCAAGGCTGGCTCAAAAGTGCTGACTACAAACCCAGAGCTCTGGGTATGCTCCCAGCCCAGGGCCTCCCAGACCCAAGGCCTAGCTGTGGGTGGCCAGGAAGCCATCCCTCCACATTCTGTCTGAATTGCACCTGTCTTGGTCCTGGGTTCTGCCCTTGGGTGGGGACAGCCCCATAGAAAGGTAGTGATCAAGCATCTCAAGTTTAGCATGGAAAAGTCCTAGAAACTCTGCTCCTGGGCAAATGGGACTGTTGGTCATCTCCCTGAAGGACACCTGTGACTCTAGGCCTTTCTGCAGGGCATCCTGTCTCCAGGCAGCACACAGGCAGGCCAAGGCTGGCCTGGAGGGCTTCCTATGAACAGACCACACCCAGCCTTCCTGCCTGCCTCCCTGCGTCCAGGTTCTTCTGACCTGGTGGACAAGGAAGACACCACAACTCAGGTCTGGAAGGTGACCACTGAGGGTGCCTGTAAGCACAGAGGGATGCTGCAGTACGTCTCTGTGGGATTCTGTAGGGCCTGGTTTCCTAGCCTGTAGCAGCAGGGGTGGCCTCCTCCAGAGAGGTGACAATTCTCCTGTGGACATGCTAACCATCAGAGTGTAGGGGTGATAGAGGGGCCATTTCTCTGCATTCTGTCCAGGTAAGCAGGACGGTGGGTTCAGGTCTTGGATGGCCAGAGATGCTGAGGTCCCCCAAGCTGCCCCTTCTGCTCCTGAAGGGCTTGCCCTGCTCAGAGGGAGCCCCATGTTCTAAAACTTCCTGACTTACGGAGAGTGGATATGGTGGCCGTTGTGGCCTCTCACAACTCTGCCCAAGTTCCAAGGGCACAAAGGACAGAGGAAGCCACATCACTGGAGTAATCCAAGGCTGTGCTGGCACTCCTACAGTCTCTTCATGGCACCCCAAAAGCAGTCCCCAGACTATGAGGTAGTGAGGCTGGAGACCAAGGCCATAAGATCAGCCCCTAGTATAGGGGCCAAGAGCACTAGCCCTGCCCCCAAGCACAGGCCAGGGGTCTCAGCCAAAGATTCACATAAGAAGGGGAGCTGCAGGATGCGCAGCAGTGGAAAAGGACACTCTCACAGGGCAGGGGACAGGCTTCCAGAGAGTGAGCAGCGACCCCTTTCCTGGAGGCTGATGGGACGCCAGGTCCTTCAATCGTCCCAAAGTGCAGAAGCCCTGGCTTCCTATAGGAGAATCCATGACAGCACAAATACCACCCCTGCCCAGACAGAGGAAAAGGAGTTGGTGCTCACAGAAGACAGGACAGCGTCTGCAATCTTTAAATAGATTTATGGAAATGGTTTCAAGTTACAGCTGTTAGAAAATAAAAATAATCTCAATACATAATATTCCCTCCAATATATATTCTCCCCTACAGAAGCCATCTCTGTGCAAGAGTATTCCACTGCTCAACAGTAATTGGACTTCATCCTATAAAAGAAGCAGTAGGTGTGTCATCTCTCCAAAAATAAAACTGCAATCGTCATTGCAATGTGAAGCCTGAGATTGAAGCCTGAGGAGGTGTCTGCACTGGGGCCACTTGGATGTCTCAGCATGGGTCCCAGCTGCTCTAGAATCTGTGGAAGTGGACCAGGGTCCCAGAGGGTGCAGAGGAAAGGGGGCACTGTTGGCCAAGTGGGCAGCCCTTGGTGGTGTTGGGCTGCCTGGTGAGCCAAGGTCCCCAAACCAAACCAACCTCTGTCTGTGGGTGTCAGTGCCTGGCCAGCCCCCACTCCACTGGCAGTGGACAATATGCAGGTTCAGGGCACGTATTCCTCCTGCATTCCCCCTCCAAGAAGAAATGAGATGCGTGTTGTTTATAGCAGGGTCCTGAGACGGGCAGTGGGTGCTGGGGATGAGGTGGGCGCAAGGAGCCCTGACAGGGTGCTGGGGCCCGTGGAGCCCCTTAGTTCCTGCTTCCAGAGTCTCTGCTGCAGACAAGGCCTCACAGTGCCCACTCTCCTGCCTGGTAGGTCCGGCTGGAGGAGGAGCTCCAGTGGAGGCCAGCAGGCACCTGCTTCAGAGGCAGCCCCTAGGTCCCTGGATCCCCTTGGTGGGTAAAGCTGACCTCCTATCACGTTCTGCACCTGGCCTGGGGTCCCTGCAGGTAAGGAGGCCAGGGTGGGTGGGACAGAGGCTCTGGACATTCTGGAAACCTGGGCGGGTCTGCAGCAGCAGCAGCAGTGTCTTAATGAGATGCAGGAGACCTCCTGCAGCACAGCCTGGACAGACCAGGGCCAGGCTCATCGCCTCCTTCCTGGAAGTCCTGGCCCTGGGTGTGTTGGTGAGTGCCTGGGTGCTGCATCACATGCCTGCTTTGTCGCTGTAGAAGGGTGTGACGTGGAACATGTAGCAGTGTGTGCACACACGGACAGGCTTCACCTGCCCATAGCGGGGCAGCGGTGCCGAGTGCGAAGAGCAGCGGGAACAAAAGATCTGGAAGTCAAGGAGGGGTAGGAACCAGTGAACCTGCTGCAGGGTGCTGGGCAGGGCCAGCCCCCATGCCCCCACACAGCCCTCCCACCCAAACCAGGCAGGGCAATGGAAGGGGAGTCTGCCTGGTCCTGGTCCTGGTCCTGGTCCTGTGGCCCGTGGAGCTAGGACCTTCAGAAAAACCCTGGGCAGGGCTTTGCCTAGGAGGCCCACTTCCTGAGAGGTGTCTAGGTGCTACACAAGGCCACAGCAGGTTCCTGCTTGGTTACTCTGTCCCCTCCCTGTCCCTGGCTCTGAGTGGCCAAGGCTGGACATGGGCACTGGTGTCAGAGCAGGGCTCAGGACTCAGGGGCATCTGCACAAGGACCCCAGAGCCTAGGAACACCAGTCCTGACTTGCAGCCCCTGACACTGTGCCTGGGATGGCTCAGATGCTGCAGGCCAGCGTGGCCACCCACCTTCCCGCAGCTGCGGCAGTGGTGTTTCCTGCGGATGACAGTGAAGGGCGCTTTGCACGCGGTGCAGAAGCCGCAGGCCTCGTCCGGCACCCATTCAGGGGGGTCTGTTACAACGAGAGCCAGGGACACGTCAGCCCTGGCATGCAGGTGGGCTGGGGCTGGAGTGGAAGCCTGGCAGGTGGGCAGGCACCTCCAACCCCTCTCCTCACTGGTTACCCCTAGACTCAGTGACAGGCTATGATTTCACATGGGGGTCCCTCTTCACTGCCATTGACAGAGCTGGCAATCACCCCCAGATATAGGCCCCTGCACTTGGGATATACAGGGGGTCCACCTGGAGGACCGTGCCTTGGCCAAGGCCCACTCACTCCCAAACTCTCCCTGCCCCCTCTGGTAACCCCGGTCAGGTCTATCTGCCCTCATCCATCTCAGCACCATGGAAGCCCCCAGCACCCGAGGGACTGTGACACATCCTGCCAACAGCCCTTCTCAAAATCTTGTGCCCCTCCCGCAATGTGTGGCAGTCCCCTGAATGCCTGGCTCTTCCTTCTATGACACCATGCCATCTGCCTGCAGCCAACTCCATGGAGAGACTGCAGGGAGCAGGTCTCCCAGATCAGATGTGACCAGATCAGTCTACAGCTGTCCTCACTGGGGAAGGCTTCTGGGACTCCACAGTCCCCATAGTGTCCTGTAGTTTCCCCAGCTGCCATGCCAGATACCTCCTGAGGTACAGGTGAGGAGCTGGGGTGTCAGGTGTTGGCCAGCCACTTGCGGCCAGAGCTAAGTCTTGACCTGACACCTCCTTGCTTCCCACACCCTGGAACCTGTGCCCACCAGGCTGAGAGACATTGAACACCTGGCCTGAGGTCACTAGTAATGAGGGGGCTTGTGTGCCCACCTGGGAGCCAAGGACAGCATGCAGAGTGGCTGCCTCCTGTGGGAAGCTGCACACTGGGAAGCCTGGTGTCTGTCTGGAGGGGAGCCACCTTCAGGGCTCTGCATCTGAAAGCATCCTGCGCAGGCACCTGCTGCTCAGCATGAGCGTGTTGGCCCCTGGCCTAGAGGTTCCCACACACCTTCAAAGTCCCCGTCACGGGTCTTGGCTGCAAGTTCTGAGGATGACAGGGTCTCCTGACACAACGCACAGTCCTCTAAGGCCGCACTCCGCAGGGTCTGGGTGACTGGAAGAGAATTGAGGCTGCTGAGGTTTGGTGGGTAGGGTAGTCAATGCAATTGATTATCCCTGCTGGGTACCCCTGGCCAGCTCCCCCAAACCCAGCACACAGGGCCAGTCACCTCAGCAGGTAGGGTGCCTGGCCTGGCAGGTCTTCCAGTTAGTTGAGGGCTTCCTATTGCCCAGCATGGCACAGCATAGTGTGCCCTGAGGCTCGTGTCAGATGCTCCCTGTGAGCATCCAGCCCTGGGGCCCCTGCACACGTGGTCAGGTCCCCTGAACTGTGATCATGGAGGCAAGCAGGGTCCTGCAGCCCAGTCCCTATCTGAGCAGTGTTTGTTTCTGCCTCCTCTGAATCTTGATTTCCAGAAGGCAGCCCTGCCAAGTTCCCTGATGAAATATGGCCTGGGAGTGTGCTTTTGGGAACAGAGCTGGGTGGGCATAGGCTCCTCCTCACTAGCAAGGACACCTCTGCTGGGTGGGAGCTGCAGAAATAGCTGGGCCGTCCTGTTGCCAGACACCCCACAAGCAGAAGCCCTGTAGTAAGGGTAGTTCCCCCAGAACAGGTGTCTCAGCCCAGTACAAGGGGCAAGCCAGCAGGGCTCCAGCCCCACTCCTACTCAGGACTCTTCAGGGACAGAGGGTCAAACTCCCCATGCTAATCAGTCCCTGACATGATGCCCTTTCCCTCACCACATACCTGTTATATGCACATACGTGTGCAGTGTGTTAACTAAATGTGACTACGAGAGCACATGTGTTGCCTGTGACATGCTGAGTATGCAAATATGAGTCAGATCACAGCCAGCAGCAGACTCTGCAGCTCCCCATGGGGAGGGGGTCTCATGCCCCCTCCCCCTGTCTCTGGCTGTCTTCTGAATGCGTTGACAAGTGACACTGTGGAACACTTAGTCATCTGGTCTGGTCTTTAGGGGAAAGGATGAGTATCCCCAGCCCCTATCTGCAATACAAAGTTGGGCGACCTTGCTGCAGTGTGTACAAGGGGACCAAAGCCAGGTGACCCACTTGCAAAGTGGCAGGGGAACCACTTCCCTGGGCTATGCATCCTGGGTCCCCCGGCAGAAAGCCTGGCGTATCTGGTCATGCAAATATTAGGATGCTTGGTTGCCTTGGAGGGCACATATTTGCCCAGGAAGAGGAGGTGTGGTTTTCTGCAAACCCTGTTCCTGGGGGCACTGGACACAGGGGTTGGCATGGAGTCAGCACCTGTCCTGGGTGGCACTCACCCTTCTTTAGCTTTTCCTTGTCATCTGTTTCTGGCTTGGTGGCCATGACCTCAAACAGAGTTTTGAGAATACTTCTCAGGTCGCTCGCATAGTTGGTCTGCAGCTGATCTGCCACACCTGACCAGTGTGACAGAGGGATGGAAGGAAGGATGAATTAGGCTGACTGATCTGTGCACTGGGCAGGACCTGGCCTAAGCTGAGGGAACAGCATTTCCCAGCCCCTTGGGAAAGGATTCTCTTGATGTATGTATGATGGGACTTTCTGCACAGCCCACTGCAGGCCAGTCTGCTACCAGCTTTATCCAAGGTTACGGCCACTACCACTAAGCTGTTATAGCTGCTCACCAGGGCCTCGATCATGCCTAGCCTCACTTCGGCCCCTGTCACTGTCACAGCAACTTGGGCATCCAGATGGCTCCACTTATAGCCTGCCCACTCCCAGGTGGGCCCAACCCCCAGATCCCTGACCACACTGTCCAAAATAACCCTGACTGCAGGGCTATAGTACAGGCTCCACGTGGCTGGGGAGCCCAGGGTGGACCCACCCAGAGGAGGTGCCCATGGCCCTCTGTTCTGCCCCACCCCACCCATCACCCCCAGCACTCCTAGAGGCAAGGGCTCTGGTCCTCACCCACAGAGCTCCTTCGGCCTCCTTCTCCCAGGAGCAGATCAGCCCTTCCTAAGGAGCGCTGGCTTGCAGGGAAGCAGACCACACTGCCACACAGCAAAGCCAGGGAGAGATGGCTGCCCGGGTCTCCATTCCCCTAGAGGGCAGCCTGCGGGCCCTCGACCCACCCCAGGCCCAGACTCCACACCTGAAATGCAGACAAACAGGCGGTGGATCAGGTCATGGCTGCCGTGGAACCTGGACCGGATCTTCTCTCTCGTGGCCACGGGGGTGACAGGCGAGGCCACAGGGGCTGCCTCCAGCAGGGTCTTGTCTGAGGAGCAGGAACCAGCTGGGGGGCTGCTGCACAAAGAAGGAAATGCAGGGTGTGTGGAGATGGAGGCCTGGTGAGGTGCCCGGAGCCTCGACTTCAGCAGGCCAAGGTGACAATCTGTCCTTGTGGCTCCACTCCGGAGGTCAGGCAGCCCATGCATGGCACTTCCTGCAAATCAGCTTTACATGCTGTCATGTGATCCCCATGCCCCACTGAAAAGCCGAGTGGCTGGACAGGGCTTTGACCCTACCCCAGTCCTGCTCTGGTCACTCAACTGCTGCTGTCTGTGGCGACCACACCCAAGCCCTTCCTTGCACAGGGTCTCCTGGGGTTGACATGGCACTGACTCACAAGCTTAGGCCACTCCGTCTGGCATCCTCAGCTTAAGACAGACTGACTTTCTTCTGTGGAAGATCCAACTCACCTTTGTACCTTCTAGGGGTCAGGGGACTGGATGGAGGGCTTCCAAAAGACACGTCCACACCCTAAGCCTGGAGCCTGTGAGTGGCACTTTATTCAGAAAGAAGGGCTCTGCAGATGAATTTAGTGAAGGATCTTAAAACAAACAATTATCCTGGATTATTTAGTGGGTCCTACATCCATGACAAGTGTCCTATCTGTTAAAAGGAGGAGGCACATGTACCCAGTGGAGAGGAGGAGGCCACACAGAGCCACAGACTGAAGGACATGGCCACAATCCAAGACTGCCTGGAGCCACCAGGAGCTGAGAGGGGTGGGAATCCTCCCCAGAGCTTCTGAAGGGAGAGGGGCCCCACTGGACTCAGACTGGGGTCTCCAGACTGACAGGGTAAGCTTCTGAAGACCAGGTCACCCAGGTTGCTGCACATGGCTACATGCAGCCCCTGGGCACTCAGCCATTCCTGCCATCACATCCCTTGCTGCCTGCCTGGCAGATGTGACCAGGTGCATCCATCTGCTGCTCAGGGGTGTGTACAGGTGCTCCCAGCTCTCGGCCTCCACCCTACGTGCAACCTAAAGATGACATATCCCACTTGTCTCCTCGTCTCTATGTCCCTCTTTCTGGGAAATTTCCTCAGCTTTTTCTTCCAATTGTACCCTGGACATTTTGGGTTCTTAATTTCCTACCCTGACTGCTATTTCCTGGACGCAGTGTTGTCTCTCTCTCTATAAATGTTCATTCACTGCAATTTTTAAAACTTGCCATCAGTGCCTGGCATTGTCTGTTTTCCCGTTTAGGGGAATCAGTCTGTTTGGCCTGTTTCCCATGCCAGCAGCTTGCCACAGATGCTGAGGGTTCTGGGCTGTCTGCTGTGTTGAAGACCCTGAATGGCTGCCTGTCATGGGTGGAAACAGAAAACGTTCTCCTTGCCTGTGGGAGCATAAATGGGTGCAACCACACTGGAAAAGTAATTTGGCACCACCTAAGTAAAACTGGACTTTCCCAATGGACATACCTGAGTAAAACTGGACCTGCCCAGTAAACTCACCTGGGTAAACTGGACCTTCCCAGTGGACACATCCAAATTCTTGTCTTTTTTATTTTCTTTTTCTTTTTTTGAGATACTGGGTACTCTACCACTAAGCTACATTCCCCAGTTCTTTTTAGTTTTTATTTTGAGAGGGGGTTCTGTTAAGTTGCTGAGGCTGGTCTTGAACTTGTGGTCCTTCTTCCTGGGCCTCCCAAGTTCCTAGGACTACAGGCAGTCATCCCTGTGCCCAGCTCGGAAACTTTTGTCTCTATATGACTGTAGATACAGTGAAACCTTCAAGATGGCATTGAATATTCCAGAGAAAAACTGGGAAGGAGCTCAAGCCTGTGAGCAAAAATTGCATTGGTGAGTCCACTGTGATCTGTGGGCAGGATTTCAGAGGCAGAGGGGAGCCAGCTGCAGCCCCTCAATGATGCCAGTAGATCCTGCACACTGCAGGACCCAGACACACCCTGGAGAAAACACAAGAACTGCCCACTGTCTTACTCAGGACATACCCTCCTGATGTCAAACCCTTCTGAGGCACAGAGATGCCCCCAAAGCCTTCAGGACTGTGGCTTTCAGCATGGAGAGAGGCTGGGGCAGGAGAGGCTGCAGAGTTCCCAGGCTGTTCCTTCAGTGGAGTGGCGGTGCATGGGTATGCATTTTTTTGCTATGTCCTGGCAGAGTGAGTATTCACTGGAAGGCAGAGGAGGGGGCAGTCTTGGGTGGGGCTGGGTGCTGATTAGGGAACTGGGTGTTGTCAGACCCTCCTGATGATCTGTGGTTCCTTCCTCCCGCTGGCCCAGTTTCACAGAGGCAAAGGCCCTGACTTTCAGCCTGGGTGTGGGCCTCACTGACCTTGCCCTGGGAGGTGACGAAGGAAAGGGGACGGTGCCTTCACTGTCGGTTTCCACCCAATACCCCCTCATCACTGTCGACCTCACCCCAAATCGCTGAAGGTGGGGCTCCAACAGACGCACTCCACAAACACCCACAGTACCATCATCCACAAAGCCAGGAGGGGCACCATCCAAGTGAGCACCTGGGTGGATGGGTGAACAGAATGTGACACATGCTCACAACAAAATTATCCAGCCTCTAGAAGGAAGGAGATTCTGACTGTGCCGCATATGGACAAGCCCTGAATACACGCCAATCAAAGAAACCAGGCACCAGAGGACGAATCCTGTAGGACTCGACTCACAGGAGATCCCCAGAATGGGCAAATCCAGGAAGACAAGAATAGGAGCGTGGTCACCAAGAGTGGGGGAGGGGCGGGACCCAGCTCCAGTTCACAAAGATGAAAACATCCTGGAGGTGGACGGTGGTAGTGGCCGTGCGGTGCTGTAGATGCACTATGATCATGTTACACACATACAAATGGTCAAGATGGAAAATTCTATGTCATATGTGTTTTACCAAATTGAAAAAACACAATCAAGGCAGAGAAAAAGGGACTGAGGAGCCCATGTATGGCCAAGAGGCTGGGCCCCTGTGTCATTGGTGTGAGTCTGGTGTCTGCACACCGAGAACCTCTGACTGGGGCTTTCCTGGTGAGTGGCGCCCAGGGCCTTGCGAGCGCTAGGCATGTGCCCTACCTGCCACTGAGCCACACCCCAGCCCTGCAGATACACAGCAAAAGGGTGGATTTTATGGTATTTACATTGCATATCAATAAAGATGTATTTTTAAAACTCACTTGTATTTAGATAAGGCAGCAATAAACTGAAAATGAAATTTAAAACATAAACATAATCCCATATACCACAGCATCAAGAAGATCAAAACACTTGGACTAAATTTAATGAAATAAGTATAAAGTTATATACTGAAAACTAGAAAACATCACTGAAATAAATCAAAGAAGATGATTAAATGGAAAGTCGTCTGTGTTCATGGATTGGCAGACTTACATTGTTAAGCTGGCAATACTCCCCAAATTCATCTTCAGATCCAATGAATCCCGATAAAAACATCAGCTGCCTTTTGTTTCCATGCAGAAATTGACAGGCTGATCCTAAAATTCATACTGAAATGCAAGGAGCCAGAGGAGCCAAAACAACCTTGAAGAAGAAAAAAAATAAGTGGGAGGACTCACACTCACACCTGTGACTCACAATCTGAAAAGAAATGCTGGGGATCAGGACCGTGACACAGTCCCTGGACACACCACTGGAGTCCAGAATAAGCCCATAAACCTGTGCACTGACGCTGCTGATCTCCAGCAGAGGGGAGTGAGCAGGCTCCAGCAAACACTGCTGGGAAACAGGACAGCCGCAAGCAAAAGCCTGCAGTCTGACTCTTCCCTTATCCCATATGCAAAAATGAACTCAAAATGGAACAAGTATAGGCTGGGGTTATACCTCGGTGGTAGAGCGCTTGCCTAGCATATGAGGCACTGGGTTCGCTCCTCAGCACCACATAAAAATAAATTTAAAAAAATAAAGGTATCGTGTCCTCTACAACCACAAAAATTTTTTTTAAAAAATTGTTTATGGTTGTAGATGGACAGCATACCTTCATCTTATTTACTTTTATGTGGTTCTGTGGATCAATCCAGTGCCTCACACGCCCTAGGCAAGCACTCTACCACTGAGCCTCAGCTACAGCCCCTAAAAACAGTTAAAAAAAATGGAACAAATATCTAAATGCAAGAGCTAAAACCACAGAGTTCTTAAAAGAAACACAGGTGCACATTTTTATAACCTTGGATTAGGTTACAGCTTTTCATGAACAACACCTAAAGCAGCATCAAAAGAAAAAACCGACACACGGAACCTCCATACTTCCTGGGACATCGTTGAGAAAGCACAAAGAGACAAGTGGAATAGTTTTGCAAATCACGTGTCTAATAAAGTTACAGAGTAGTGTCTGGAATATGGAAAGAATCCTTAAACTCAACGATAAAAAGACAAAATTCTAGCTAAAAACTGGAAAATGGATCTGAATAGACATTTTTTCCAAGGAAGGTATACAAATGTTTAATAAACCCATGAGAAGACGCTCAACGTCATTTCATTCAGGAAATGCAAATCAAGAGGGCAATAAAATATCATTTTACATCCATTAAAATAATTTTTCCAAAAAAAAAAAAAGAGAGAGAGAGAAAGCTAAAAACAAGTGTGGGTGAGGACAGCCAGGATGTGGGGAAGCCGGGAAGCGGACGGCTCGCCTGGCGGGACACAGCGAGCAGGCAGACAGAACAAGCCGTCCTCAAGCGCAAGAGGTCCTCAGCCACAGGAAGGAACCAGGTACTGACACGTGCTACAATGTGGGTGAGCCTGGAAGCCACCAGGCCCATCACAAAAGACCACATGTTGCACAAAATGCCCTGAACAGGTAAACTGATAGAGACGGAAAGTAACGCAGGGTACCAGGGCCAAGGGGCGGAGGAGAGGGGGCACCTGCTGATGGGGTGGCTTCTTCCCAGGTGATGAGAACATTCTGAAGTCAGAGGGGGGTGATGGTTATACACCCTCCTGACCACACCAAACCCACACAATCATACACACACACACGCCAACGGAAGAGTACATTTTCCTGTAGTCACAAACAAGGAATATCTCCTAAGCCAC